GAATGATTGTGTTAAGCTAGCACTAATTCCCTCCCCGATCCACCTTTATTCTTTTATTTACAATAAGGCTTTCAAATAAGTCATGGTTGTACGGCAGTGAACACTGATGTCATGCTGTCAATGATGATGACGATGAATCATGATTGATTGGCTCAAATGGTGGCCGCAGTAAGAAAACCAGTAAGAAACCCGTAGAAAATACAACTTTCTTAACATCCGTATCTTTATATGCCTAAAAACCTCGGCCGTACCTACTCATCTAAGTCAGCCATTTTGGCAACAAGGTGTTTTCCCATGCCAGGACCGTCTTCAAAAATATTGACATTCGATCAGTGGAATGGTTTTGGCTAACAAAAGCTGTTATATATGTTGTAATACTGCAGGTAGAGTGCACCTTCATGGTGTTCGTTAAGGTTCAACGGAAAGTGCTGAATAACACTGGTCCCACAGCGCAAACACTTGTAATTACACTGGCTAAAGAAACAATAAACTGGCTTTGTGTTGTTGGCGTTTATCGAAGAAGTTATGATGCAGATCCAAGGCCACCAAAATGCAAGTAAAATCAGTGATCTTTGTACGCAGTAATGGTCCCACACCATGATGAGCTCCACTCAAGTAAACTAGTGAAGGTCACCAGGTTGGGACACGTTTATAGCTGCCTGATCATTAGAGTTCCGGGGATATCCATCAACATGTTCTGGTCGTTCTTGAAAATGATTCAGATTTTGTAGTTCTAAGCCGCGCCCGGAAAACAACTCTGACCTAAAATAAGTTTCCGGAAACAAAAGGAACAAAACATGCAGTTAATTTTACTCATTCAGTAATAGAATAAAACATCTTTCCTGAGCTAGTGACAAGCTGAAATCGTACCACTCAATTACAGCGGTTAAGACCACGAAACGCCATATAGATAGGTCTTCCTTTCGAAAGCATATCAAATAAATCGCTATTCAAAGTAACTTACTTCAGAATTATCTCTGAGGGCCATTTTATTGGTTGTAGAACCTTTGAGCGATTCTCCGTCTTTTGTGATTTTTGATACACGTCGGTGTCTGTTTATCAAATTATGCATAATCGTTTGCACACATAAACGGTCTGTTAAAACTAGGTTTTTACTGGAAAATTCCCCAAAACTTTTTATCGAGGTTCTTTAATCTGTCAAGGCAGCAGAAGGCTACGTGCGTTTTTCATGTGCAAGGACAGAAACACCAGTGAACAACGGACTCCTATTTACTAATCGACAGCAGAGAAACAGCTAGGTATTTTGCCTGCAGTAGATTCACTAAAACTACAACACCTATTGGTTGTTTTACGGAGCAAAGCATCAGTAAAGCAGGCCTGAATTAGCCATGGCATATCCAGCTGTGTTTATCCAACTTCCAAGCCTCAATTGTTCTATCATAACGCAAGGAATAAATAGGATAAAATTCAGCGAGGAAAGAAAATAGAAGATTGAAGAGAGGAAAACAGGAAACGGATAAAACATGGTTTCTTCCCGTAGACAACAGCAACACATAACTAACTAATAATTTGTTGCAATGAAATTTCGGCATCTGTAGTGCAAGAACATTGAAGAACTTGATGCATTCTTAGAAGTGAGATAAGAAAAACTATGAGGATAACAGCTTACTATTCGTCGTAATCTTATACAGTGTACTCCGATATAATGAATATGACCCACGTAATTAGATGACATCACTCAGAATAACCAGTTGGTTGGTAGAGGTACACTGATTTTCAATATTAGTCAATGTATTGATCGACTTGTCCGATTTGTGGTGATGGCATGTTGTGATGGTATTGGCCGCTTACTCGTAGTTGCATCAACTTGATGATATTTACCTGCGAGGCCCTTCAGAATATTAGGCTTGAACAATGATTTGCGGTGGCTGAAAGGTGGCACAGATCGCAAACTTCAGACGTCGTCGTGGCCGTCGGACACTGGTGAGCTGAAAACCGCAGCTACTTTCTGCAGTTGTCGCCACTTGTGCACTATCATAAGAATTGCAACAGCCGAGTGATAATTAAGCAAAAAAATGTTCGCTCATTTGATCGACAGAATCGGTTAAACTACATTAACTCGGTCTACAGCGCCAGTTGGTGTGCGTGTATCCACCTCGTCCATCCAATATTGTGGACTTGATCAGCTTAACGTCTGGGGTCAGTGTTCAGCTGAGCCACACCGACTTTCTTCCTTTAGCGGTTGTGCAGCTCAACACTTGCTTTTTGAGACATGCCGCCTGACCCTGGTTAACACTGTATTTCCCGTTATTAAACTGAAGATTTAAGAATGGCCATCTATACACAACAACCTTTGGAATCACACCCTTAGTGACACACCCATGGCTTCGTTTAGGTTTACGGTATTCGGAAATTGATGAGAAGCAAGAAATTCTTGGCAACTGGCTAATTCGGAATGGCCAATCAATCGGATCAACTAGGGCACTGCTGATGTCCACATATTTTCATCATTTCGCAAGTCATAATTCCTCCAAATTGTCTTCAGAAAACACTCCTGAATAAAACACTGGACAAGCAGAATTACAGGGCCTACTGCACAACTGAGTTTGATCGACCACCCGTTAAGGCAACTTTGATTAAGAACACAGGAATGTAAAGTTATCTCAGCAAATCACACCTTATGAACATTCTCATCAACTGAACAGAGAACACAGATTCGGAGCACTTTAGCTAGCGCACTTTGTGTGTGGCACTCCTCTGCCAAGTGGTTTCCCTGTCCAAAAACCAGATACAGCCATTTATTTGTCTTACGAGTGAACAGGCGTTATGGATTTCAGAGCGCATCATCGAAAGCTAAAAATATCCTCATGAGTTCTGACCTCTATGTACCCTGCTGCATATGTCAATTTATTAGCTGGTTATGTCAGATTGTACCGTTCGATTTCAAAAGTAAGCAAACCTGTGTCGGAAAATTCCTCCCCTCCAGCATCACATTTGTGATATGCATTAGTCTAGCGGTTTCCAGGTTCTTTTGCAGGACTAGACAAGTCCCAGGTCTAAGCTGAGTCAAAAGGCCCTGGCAAACGAGGGGTGCAAAAATTTGGAATTCAATGTAAGTGAATGGTTTCTGCATACATCTGTACAAGGCATCGTTTTCCTGATAGAATTCTGTAAACTTCTCTGTTTTTCATGCACACTCGTCCATTCAAATTCAATGCATGAACGTTGTTCGGTATGGCAAGATCCATTGCAGGCGAGGCTATGCTATCTACATAGGAAAGCAGTAGACAATTGAAAACATGCGTCAAAAAGCAGAATTGTCAATCACGGTTATTATGAAATATACAAGCAAATCAGACATTGTCCCACATTCCTAACCAGAGAACAACATCATGTTTGACCAATTCGGTGTCAATCAAGACGACCTGTCGTCACCCACACAAACGTGCTACACCGTTACGGGTGCACAGATCGGAATAAGGTGCAAACGATAACAACAATTTCAGCCTCTGTCCATTCTGTGAATGATCTGCCGATCAGTCAATGGTCACGACTGCTATCCTTAAGAGCCCGCAGTCCATTGTTATTGTTTAGTTAGTCTTGATTGGTTCACTGTTGATGGACACCACCCATAGTGGTCGAAATTTTGGGCACTCGCGCGCCCTCGACTACTCACCTTAATCAGGCAGTGTGCTTCTGAGATCTCGTCCTGTCATAAATCTCCTGCTATCATACCTTTGCATACCATCATGAAGGTGGCTCTAGCCACATCAGCTAGTGCGCGGTTATCAACTTGTGACCAATTTGGACGCCCAGTATTCAAGAAGTGCTCACGCAAGGCTAGTGGTAACCACAGTTTACCTAGTTCAAGCAAATGTGACGGTGGGTATCGACAGATCCACCCTTATGTTTTCGCACCTTTATGTGACCTAAAAGTGGTTTCATTCAAATTCTTACATACGTTGCTGTGTCATCCAGATGGGTGTGAATAAAGCTTCCTGTACTAAATGAAGGAAATAGTGGGTATTGGTTGCGTGGTAGAAGTGGAGAACGTCACATTCGTTCTGAACTTTGTAAACGATGCTTCGATTACGGTTGATACTCCTCAATACGCAACATGGGACTGCTTTTTCAACGTTTTTTAGTCGCATTGTTTTTTATTCCTACCTTCGGTTACTTGTTGTAGTGTAGTATAATAGGGTGATGTAGCCCAAAGACGTCAAACAAACCGAGCTTGTATATTCTGTGAATAGTAATGATCTTGATCACAATGAGTGAAATGTATGTTGGCGTTTTCGGCTGCATCTGATGCCTGGCTGGAAAGCTTACCCTCAGTATAAGGTCGCGCGGTTGCAGGAGTTATCCGTCCGACAGGCATAGAAAACGACGGACTCAGACTATAGCGACTAGAATTCATGAAGAATTTTACCAGATGTTTTGGTATAAAGCAAGGGTGATTCTCAGCTCAGCACGAAGAATGCAGCCAAAATTTGGTGAAATATACGCATTATCAAACTTAGTCGGTATTACTGGGAGACGAAACTGAATCCCAACTGAATCTGTCGTTCATTGCGTCTCTCAACTGAATACCAAGTCAACCCAAACACTACGTTTGCATAGTTTAGTCTGATAAAAATGACTACAGTGGTCTGCCCGCACCGATTTCTCGCAAACACCAGAATGTCGCTGTTCTTCAGTGTCATCTGGTTACTGAAACGTGCGCAACTAAAATGATGCGAGATTCATCGGTCTTTTGAGCTGGGTAGCGGAACTGCTTGTCTACACTTCTATTTCCTAAACTTCATTGCTGGTCTAGAGAACTGATAATGGCACAGACGCCCCCTGTTTGACTCCAGAACTTGAAGCGATCAACCTTCTTGAAGCATTTGGCAATTTTGTGCCCATCAGATTTCGCGTCCTGGTTCTCAATGGATAATTGGTCATCTTCAAAATGTTTAGTAGAATCATTCTGCAGTGGACATGTCTCACTTCCGTACACGCTATGTCATGTTCACGCGAACAGGCGGCTCATTTCAAGTTCACCCACTGCTCACAACAACGCCCCAGTTTCCATCTTCCTTTAATGTTGTGTCAGTGATTTTGTTGGGAAATTTTACCAAGTCCGAGGACATAAAAATTAAAGACCAACCAACACGTTAAGCCTTGCCAATGATGTCACAGTTAGCGGAGTTTTGACGAGTGTCAAGGAGATCAACCCCAATGAACGTGACGGCAAACCTACAACTGAATAACACTGTCATTTTGAACATTAACCATTGTGACTGATAAAATTTCCCATAGTTTGATAGAGGCAGAGATCTAAGTGACAACTATGTTCTGCTCCAACGCCACCATTACGGATTTGAAACATGTTTGGACTCCTCGCCACATTTGAACTAATGTATACAGGCTTTATATGAGTTCTGCGTCCACGTTATATGAGTTTGCGCGAGAATATACATCTAGCTTTCTTATCAAAAGTGGCAGATATATACAAAGTAGTTGAAATATTTCACCTGAAACCCAAAGCTGATCTCGAATGATAAAATACCGCGGACTAATTTGGATCCCCATTAGAAGCCTCGATATTCTAGGAAAGACGTGCTTTTTGGCATTATTTCCAATGTTTCGAAATGCCACAAGCCTTTATGTGTTCATGAAGCAAATAGAAAGTGAGTTCTTGAGGTTTGGTCCGGGTAACATGGAAGAAGTAAGAAAGGCAAGGTATTATATGCAGTAATATATAAACTGATAAACACTGCAGTCAACTGCATTCCTCCTAACCTTCAAATCTGGGTATTACCCAGCGAAACACCCAGTGCATTCGGTACGAAAATGTTGTAATGTGAAACAGTTTACCTTGTCCTGAAAAGATTTGCGTAATCTCTAGTTGCCTCATTTTAGATCACAGCCTGCGCACTGTACGCCATACTCGTGCATGGCACGTCCGAATTTTCACAGTGCATAATGCCGCCAAATCGAACGAACCTAGGCAACCTGGTAACGTGCACGGTGATGACAAACTTGTTCTATTTTTTAACCTTTATAAGACTGAGTTGTGAGCATAAACAATTGGAATAGATTATTTTACAATGAGACAGGTCGTTCTGAAAGTTACATCAGAGCTTCGTTCTTTCAATAGAATTCATGCCACGCGGCATTTTGTTGGTGCTTCATGCATGATGAAATTCGCTTCATTCCTGCTCAACATCGTAGATATAAAGTATTTGAACTTGCACCAAGTGTCTGGTACGCCAGATATTTGTAGCGCTTTCATCCGAGGGCACCAGGACTATTTCTACTCCTTGTACCAAATAAGTCTTTCCCCTTGCGTTTCCTCTCTGGTACACATACACAAAGTGTGTGTATTTCACAAAAGTGGCAGGCAGAAAGCAAGGACCTTGGTCGAATATAACCATTGCTTTCAAAACTTTATTTTCAAACACTCTTGACCATCAAACTGAAAAGCCAACTTGAGATGCAAGTGCCAGGTACAACAGCCGATTAAGTCAACTCCTGAAGATTTGTTTGACACTATGATACTTATTATCGACGACTTGTGGTCAAATTTCACTGGATAGGCGAATAGTAGGTGTGAACTCTAAATGGATCTCATACAATGCTACAATGAAAGATTTGATAAATATGATCGGAAGTATCCAGTCAAGCAAACGAATTATGGTTATCACCATCATCGTCACCGAAAAAATACACCGGTAATACATACATGTGGTTTCATAAAACCATGAAGGAAGAAACTCTAAGTTAATGGTGCATAGAAAATGGAAGGGTAAGGTTCTACGCTAGACAGATGAACTGCCTGTGTACAGTCCTCAGACGAACTTACGTTGTGTGAGCGTAAGAATATCACCCCATTGATATATGATGGTTCCACCGCAAGCAAATGTCTCCGTGGGACACTGAGACTCAGCTGACCGAAGTCTTACCAAAGCAACTCCAACGAAATTAAATGCCGATAAGCAATAATACAAGCATATTATGAGAACACTGCTTTCCCATACAGTATGGAAAGTGTACTGTGGATATTGGTTAACCAAAGACGAATATTGTTTACACTGCTGCTGCTTGCTTACCGGAATTAAAATTGGGACAGTCATTCTACACAGCATACTAAGTGATCACCAAGTTTTCAAATGTCATGGATTTATTTAAAGTGATACCGCCATGGTTTCACACGCCTGGTTCATTTATGTGTCTGTAAGCACATGCTTGGCTTTCATATGACGTTCAGGCAACACGCAGTACAATGCCTGTCCTATTTTAGTTATATATTAAGGCACGTTTCCACAAACTCTTCGTTTATGTCTGTTGTGTAGGCCGGATGTCCGAAAAACAGTGCGCCGAAAACCAATTTATACTGATCCTTTTCGTCTATAAAAGACCATGACAGCCTCTCTCTTCGCTCAAAAATTTAGCGTATGCTTTGAAGTAACAAAAATCTTGTTGTATGTCACGGTTCCCTCTTTGCCGCGTAATTTTCGAGGTCGAAAACAGCATGTACTTTGACATATTTTAACCACGTGGCCAAAAAGTACAAGACCCATAACACTGTGGTTTGGCGCATGTGATACGGCATAATGGAAATGTTGTGCATCGATCAAGGTTTTGTTGTACTTGACAAATTCTGTTCAGCAGGCCCATAAATCCTAACTTTGGATTGAACACTAAAGCTCGGATTCGGGGCTTCAAGAAATCAGCTGGGTGATTGTGTGAATGCTTTTAAACCTAACTGCCGAGTATAGTTGCAAATGCTTCCAGACAAACCGGTGACTTGCGCACTGCTTTCCAAGCAATAGAAAATTAAAAAGTGATGGCCAACAAAGTACGCGCTATTTTCATAGCAGAATAAAGTATCGCTTTTAGACCGCAGTTAAAATTCAGACAAAAAGTCTTATTGAGAATAAGAAGGTATAAGCAAAAGAAAACTTCACGTATACTCTACCAGGTTGAACATCGAATTTTAGCAATCATTCTACCCCGTTCAATATGCAAAACGTCTAAAAAGATTATACAAGCTCATCGAATTGCAATAAAACCTGTCCAGACCTCATTGATTTCGGTACATTGGTCAGAAGAAAATGGATTCTAAACGATTTTCGCAGACTAAACCCGAAATGGTCCATGAATATTCGGACCCACAAAGTGGAAGAATAATGTACAAAATTTTGGACTTTGTTTTTCACCTACCCCAAATCGTTGGGTGTTCTTCCTGGGCTACAATTGAGCTAAGTGTTAGTGTAAAATTTTAAAAATGTCGATGTACACGACAGCCCAAAAATGTATAATTTTTTGAAGGAACTCTTGATACATCATTGGACTTTATTCCCTTTGGCAATGATCCATACCAATTTTCACCCCCTCCGCTAATTTTATTTCAGTGTTTTAATAGAACTTTTGGAGCCATTTTGAATGTCACAGGTTTAAGAATTTTTTTGATCCTTTTGACCAAGTTGATGTCCACTAACTCTGTATTCCTGGCTCAGGAATTGTAATGCTATTTTTCTATTTTTTTGTTTAGTGAATGGAATGCAAGACTAATTAACCTTTTTCTTCCACACACAAAATTAAAGTGCTGTAAGATCACCACAGCTGTCATTTCGACGATGTCTTTGCATTTGGTGTGAAACAAGCAAACTGGAAACTTAGATATATTTTCCAGAAATTTATTTATTCGACGAATTCAGAAATCTTTTTGGTTGGTAAACTTATAGACTTAGCATCAAGAAAGTATGAACGAACATATCTACGGTTTGTTTCGAAGTCTGCAAATGAATTTTGGCCATTCAGAAATCGCCAGTGTTCAAAGATCGTGGTGGGCAATCGATTAACGATCACCTGGGTAAACGGGGATAGTGAGTTAGGGGAGCGCGCTCCGCCAATCGTCTTAAAATATTCAGATGCACTCACAAAATTTCGATTTTTGCCTAAGAAGAAGGTCACATTGGAGTTTTTTTCATTAAATTTTACCCACTCTGGCCTGCTGGCGGGCAGATGGATAAGAACAAAGGAGGTTAACCCCGCATTTTCAGAATCCTCTTGGTTTGTCACCTTTCTATGCTTTGAAAGTTACATTTTGCGCTCAGATCTCTCTGCTAGTGAAAGAAAGAAGGCCTTCACTGCGGAGTTATTTATTAGGGAACGCAAACCAAATAGTTACAGACTATTGGACATGGAACCAAATTTCTCATATGCATTTGTTAACAAAAGTGAATGAATGAATGAAAAGTAATGAATATCCTTGAACGCGTCTTCCTGAACTTTCCTGGATATTCATTGACTGTTGCTCATATGCAAGCAAATGCGACTCCACAAATTCCGCAATAGATCTCAGTTTTCAAGAGACACAAAGAGGACTTACGGGAAAGCATACAACTCACATACCCCATCAGTAGTATCGACCGTCACACTAGTAGGTGAAGCCCTACTCTCACCGTAGGGTCACTGTCAATCTCCTATGGAGAAAGCTCATCGCGCGTATATTGTGCTAATGTGGTCAAATCACCGGCCTTTGAACTCTTACTTACTTTACTTACTTTACTTACTTTACTTAATTTACATTACTTACTTTACTTATTTTACTAACAGACAGCATATCAATGTAAAATGAGTGAGTGACTGTTTCTTGCACATTTTGTAGGACAAATCTATCGAAAAAATATAGCTGCACGTAACGACTATATTTAGAATACATAGTAGCCTACATTGATGTCGGTTCTAAAGCAATCAGAAGTTTATTAAGAAGATAGCTAGGAACAAATGCTACTCTGTCTTTTTGGTACGGAGATGGTGTCAAAAAAGCGTTGTACTACCTATGCTCGTGCCGAAACATGTTTTAGAAACTGAGCGTATTGATTGGATATTTACTAGAGATGCAAGTTATATTGGCTTGGCTTCCAAATCAAAAGCATCTATAGAAACTCAGCAGGCCTATTCACTTCTATTTTTTCTCCGTTGCTGAGTTTACGCAATATAAGGGGATTTTGAGAGCACTGGAACAAAATTGTGGTGTAAACAATGTTCTAAGCTTAAGAAACATGTCTAGATTGATGTAAGCGTTCCGCTTGAGCATTGTTTGCAGTGCTGGACTGATTTCGATGTGGCTCAACCGAGGTTTGGTAGTCTACCGGTGTAATTTTTAAAAAAATATTACACAATTGATCTGCCGAAGTTTTGGCGAATGGTCACCGTTGTTGGAGTTTAGGAGACTTCTATGGGCAAGTAAGAATTGAGTCTTCAAGCAGGTTTTCCATTTCCCCTCGTGAGGAACAGCCTGTCAACTGAAATCATGGCGTGGAACTTCCTCGCGGAGACCACATGGATTCAGATGACTTTTATGCTTTATCCCACCGGAGTTCGGGGAACGAATTTACTAGTTTCCAAAACACATACTTACAGACATGTGAAAACAATAATTCAGTAACCACACTGGTTTGGCGAATTGTTTATATATATCTAGTGCATGCCTGTTGGATAAAATGGATCAAATAATATCCTGTATTACCATATCAAAAAGACTCATATTGCCCATGCTTGCTTGAAACCTGAATTGCGTTTCACGACTGATAAGCTTTGAGGGAAGATGCAACCAGTGACGTGGAGAATAAAAAATAGTTGAAGGCTTGCTTAAAATAGGCATCCAATGGAACATAGAACTGCAAAACTCATAGAAGTTTCAAAGTGCGGTTATGTATTATAGGTTTCATTGTCTAGCGGCACCATCTGGAACAGAACACATTTTTCATCATAAGTTTTTGACAGCAAAATGCCCGAAACACCTGCTGCGACATTATGTTTACATCCGTTTGCTAAGTGACGGGCCGTACTATTAGACGACCCTACCAAAAATTTCTGTTTCCCTGGCTATCATCGGCAATAATCAATAAATGCGATGTGATCAACTATGTTTACGGTATGTGAAGGACGTATATTTAGCTCTTTAAAATTTGCACTACTTTGGTAATGGACTGAAGTTTCATCCTCTCTAATCGTAAAATTGTCGTGTTATACATTGTAGCCATGAGGGGTATCGCGAATCACCCAAGAAACGTTGTCAGCTAATAGATTTCGCCGTCAAGTAATTTTCCCGTGTTCAAGCTGAATCATAGAAATAAGTAAAATTTCACTGCACTACATACCCTGCAGCATTTTTAGTTCCGTTCAACGACGGAAGATTCATCTAGAGGCTGTTTTGTCCCACTGAATTTTACATCATGTCTGATTCGAATGAAAAAACATGAGAAACAAAAGGCCGCGGTGCCCCCCGTCATCAAACTGATAACATTTTTATCGCCAAATGTCACTTAGAGAGGGGAGATAAATGGACCGTGATTACCGTTATTCAAGATATCTATTAACATTTTTTCTCCAGATACACAGTGTGTTCAGTTGAAATAATACTCTTGACATATCCTGAAATTACGGTGACGTCATAAACGTTCGGAGACATACAGCCTACCTCAGCCTAACATCAACCACTAATCGCTTTATACACCTTCGTTTGAGTCAGATAATATTATTTTATGTTCCACGGAGTCAGCTGTAAACATGTCGGGTTTGGATGATCTTTAGACGTCTGCTGTTCTGAGCAACATATCAGGCTCGAATACCTCAAGTGATCAGGCTCAAACTCGGACACTTCAGTGAAATTCCCGACGAAATATGTGAAGGTGATTATAAATAACTGACAACCCAATGCACCAAAATTGGATGCCGATACTTCCGTATCAAAGCCATGACAAATGCAGAAGCAATTAACCCCTTTTTAAACATACCGTGGCTCCTTATATTGTGCATCAGAGGAGGATCCCAAATTCTGTTGCCTTCCACTTTCGATAATACTTACCCTTTCTTCTGATCCTTCACTACTGGTTTTTCCTAGCCGGAACCGTTTATCGCAAAGTACCTCCAAAACCGAAACACACCGTGTTCCTACTCAGTACTCTTGAGCTACAGAAAATTTTCAAATTTGCAAAAAGGAAATGTTCTGCTTTAGCACGCGTAATGCTGACGGAAAGCCAAGTGACACCCGGACCAACACAATTGCATGATCAGAGTCAAACTGCCTGCCGCAGAAGGAACGACAATCTTTAGTTTAACGCTCTCCATCAGTAACTGACAGCCACTTGGCCTCATTAGGTCCACGACTGTCTTGCGGTTGGTAGCCTCCAAGTAACCTGATGTGAGCGTTTGTTGGAAGTTTGTACTAGGCAGGAACAGACGGTGAGAGCATACAACTTAAGCAGTGATCCACCATTATCCATGCGATGACCATCGACTCCGATTGTACAATCCAAATGTGCTTCATCCTCGTTTAGTCTGTGAACTTGGGCATTATTATCACCCATCAAGACTACTATATATGATTTTTTGCTGACTGAAGGAGTTGTGACAGATATTGCCAAGACCATTCCTTCTCAGTCTCAGTACTGCAGTCTGTTGGGGCGCATGCTGATATGTCAAACGGACACACTTTACCCAATAGACCCGCGTTAGTCTTGAGCCAGACAATTGCACAGCGAAAAAGCGACTTTTTACTGGGATCCAATTCAGCTTTGAGCCCTAGGGCTGAATGCAACTCCTACACCGTAAATACCACGAGTCGTTGCCTCAGAAGCACCAGATACCCATAGAGTGAAATGTGGAACGTTAGAGTTGGTCATACGCGACCTGAAACGCATTACGTAAGTCGAGTTTTGTGAGTGTTTTGGAAGCAACATACATCGACAAAGGGGAGAGCAAGTTTTCAGCAAGAGGGACCTTTTGCCCAATTTGACATGGAGAACTTACAATAAACAGTACAACTTGGAGCAGAACTGCTGAGGTTAATAGGTGCTTATTTTGGTTTATTTTTCTGGGCGACGGTTCATACACGGAAGGACGGCTAAGGGACGGACAGATGGGCAGGGTGGAGGTTTGACGGAAAGTCAGTGAGCGAACAGCTGAAAGGGCGATTTATACCTCCCGGTTACCGGAACCGAAGCAAAGGATGGATGAGCCACCTCACTTTGATCTATTGATTAAAAGGCCTGACCAACAAAACAGTGAGAGGATGAAGGGTTTTGCTCGAGGACCTTGCCTTTACCCTCTGACTCAAAATTCTCAACCGCAAGACAGCGTTTTTTAGGGTTTTCTTGGAGGAACTTTCCAGGACCAGTGACTCAACAGTGCGATGTAGCGTAGGACCTACCTGGTGCAGGTGGCCAGAGGATGCAGGAAGTAAGGCATTACCACCTTATTCTTAGCGCCGCTGCGCACAGCAGGGTTCATTTGAACGGCACCGGAATCATTAATTTTGAAATTACTTGATCGTACTGATAAAAGTGCCGTTGGACGCGGTCAACCATTAGGCATCTGGAGTGTACTTATTGTACAGCCAACCCGTTCTAACCCTTCTTTCCCGGAGGGTATGCAGCACCGTTGCATCCATAACTATGGAAATGCTGGTCCCCTTTGGGAAACGCCCTATTGCCTTCATACTCTTGTCGCAGAGGACAGTACAGCTTTACCCTCAGACCTCTCTCTCCCGCCTACAAGAGGGAGGTTTCAACAGCCTTATGAATAGCGTATCTCGTCTATACCTCGTGATACCTCGAGTATCGTACCAACTGAAAAATGAGACGGCCTGATGCAGCACAGTTAACTGCTTGAAAAACGACATACACGAGAGATTTAGTCGGGTTTCGGGTGAGTCTTCCGTCAAAACCTAATTGGTATTCAAATGAGTTTATTTCGCAGATAAATAACTAGTTCACTACCTAAGAACGGACTGTTCAGTCTTCTTTTACTGTGTTCAATTTCGTGACTCAAGAAATTTTCATCCGAAAGAGACTACTGATCACTTTTGTTACACACCCGTCACTATGTGCTTTAGACGTAATGCAGGCCGCAGCAATTTTGTACAAATTCAACTCCAAAGAACACCATAGACTTGGTGGGTGGTTTTGAAGAAACAAGCTGAGTCTTCCCTTTGCTTTATTATTAATTTTCCGATTCCATATGTCTTCTGATGTGTGGTATGACTGGTCGGTTAGAAACATGTCACGGTATGTCAATACTTCCGTCAACTTCATAAAACATCCTGTTCTCGGTCGTCCGCAACTATAGTCTGACGGTTAATAAAGCTTCCTGTAGACGAATAATTCAGTGAACATCTTGGGCAAATAGGGCTCCACTGGGGAACCAATTCTTTCCACATGACTAAGCATCACCTGGAATATGTTTTGTATCTGTGTTGTACGACTGTTGTTAATTTGAACGCTGTGGTATTTCCCTGACCAGATACTTGTTCTCATCATCAGTTCAGAGAACTTCAAAGCTCACTGCGATGAACTGGCAGTGCTCAGAAGAATTCAATTATAATATTAGGACAAAGTATGAATGTACCAAATTCTATCACTGACGGCAAACAAGCCAATTACACTGGCATTTATCGCGTCCTACTTGTTTTTCACTACAGTGGCCAAAATAATCTATCCAAATGTTCAAAACACAATTACCCGAATAAATTTTGGCAGTATATATCATCTACCAGACTATTCCATGAACTCTCTAGTGCATTCTGTATTTTTTATACCAAGCCAGCCTAAACAGTTTGAAAGGTCGGACAGAACTATGTTACTTGATGCCCCGAACAACCAGTAAGGCTCACACGATCAGCATCTGTCTACAGATATGTCCATTATTGGGTCACTGGCATGCACGTGAAGATCCAAGCGATCCAGGGTGCATATATCGTATCACCAGAATGTCGTTTGTCAAAAGTTTTTTTTCACAGCGCCAGTTGGTATGCAAAATAAGTTTTTTTTCCGGGCCAAGTTAAGTTTCGCTTTAAATATGCATGGTGGCGAAGAAAACCATGTTTTGCGCGAAATTGCTGCTCGCCACCTCTTCATTGGAGAATCCAAGACTTTCGTGGTTTTGGTCATTGAGCGAAACAATGAGCAAACTATCAAGGCATGAGTGTGTGGTCAAGATCTGTATGTGACGACAATCTACGTTTATTGTAGTAACGTCTCAAACCTCCCAATGTTCAATATTGGTTGTTGTAGCTGCAGTTGTGACAAGAACTGCGAATACTGATTGGCGGCCTGCTCACAGCAGTATCGCAATAGATAGACTGGCAACTGATGCCATGTTATCACCTCCTGACAAACTGTTGGTTACATAAGATATAATTTCATTCAAGAAGTTGGTTTATCAGTTAAAACACTTATGGTGGCCTGATGAATGTCTCGGACCATATGAAGTTTCTTATAAGTTTTGACTGCATAGACAATTGGGCATTTTCGTATTAATTATCATGGGTAGAAAACAAAAAGAATAGTCACAAGAATGATCCTTCTTGCTTAAACAAAGAGGTGTTTCGGCGAAAATTCAATCGCCGCTTTCATCTTTGCTTACGTACTTATCCGTGAATTTTTACAAGTAGTCATGCGTGAGTGCAAAACTTGAAACTTGTTCACAACAGGTCATACATGCTCATAGTAATTTTCAGAAATATGAACAGCGTATTAGCGATGTGATATACAGTATAGGTTTCTCCGTCACGTCTGAAAGTGGTGTCAATATTACTTGGCTATTCTTAGTAGAACACAACGAAAATGAAGGCAAAAACATCAGAAGCACTTTGACATCAATGTGCCCATCATTTTTTCCTTGTTTAGTTGAATCTAATAAATGATACAATCAAAGATTTCGGTTTACTGAGGATTTTTGTCACAAAATGACCTGGGAAGGAAAGAAAATGCAATAATATTGATTGTTGTTTGGACAGTAAAACTTAATGCTCACATTACAGTAAACTGTGACTGTGTGAGAGCGAGTAGAACTTGCATTTGGATGGACAGATTTTTCGTGCCGTTAATTTGTATGCCTGAGGCTGGTTCATTAAAATTGATCTTACACTATTTGCCAAAACATTCTATTTCTGGATGCACATGAACACGTGTCGCGTGCTTCTACAGGAATTTCAAAATGTTGGGTTGTCTGCCTTTTTCAGCTGCTTCAGTGAATGCTATCACCTAAATTACCCCAGTTTATTGTTTCAGAGTGCCAAAATAACCTGATAGTTGCTGATAGAGCACCATATTCCGTATGCATTTCACCGAACGAGTGTTTGGGAAAGACATGCAGCTGGGATTAAGACTTACAAAGTCAATATTCAGAGTGAAAAAGTAGGATACCAAACCTCATCAACTCCATTCAGTAGCCGGGCGATTCATTGTACAAGGATGTCGAGGCTCACTTTGTGCCACTACTAGGAGAAGCAAAGAATGTACGTTTCCAATCGGTAGTAATGATAGACGTACTTTGCCGTTAACCACACTTGTTATGTGACATGGTGATATGATTCCAGTAAGAAGTGTACAGCCAGATTTCCCAAAATGAGATTGTATGATAATCTGTGTGGGAAGGCACTATCGGAGTATTCGATGAATACATCAACACTCACGTTTCAGAAGTATACGTTTTCTACCAAATAGACACATTCAATCAAGTCTCAAAACAATGGCGGTGAACCTGCCACTAACTTAAGAAAAGCTGTCTACCTCCAAAACATGTTGATGCAGAGCCTTATGAGAGGCAGAAGTCAGTTTTTCGGCACGTTTCAAATATTTTGCATAAGAAGACTACATTTATACCGACAAAGAACAACTGTCTTTGAATTTGAAGCCTAATTTTTGCTCATTCCGCTTGCTGGTTAGTTCCATCGTTCGCCATAATTCTACCCTGAAAATAACCCATAATGTTTTAATTTATTAGCGTAAAATGTGGTCACTGGTTTTTAGTTGGTCTCCTAAGGATTTGCTGTCCTTACTTTCAACCAAATTGTTTGTCTGGAATTTAGTGCACCTCCAATAACTGGAGCGTAATATGAGCAATTCTAAGGCCGTCCAGATGCTTTTAAACGTGCTAAACATTTATTTCGAATCGACAGTTACTTTTTTTTCTTAAAAATGCAACTAGCTATTTGGGCTGAATTCCATGCACACAAAAGTGCATTTAGGACAATCGTAGATCTTAGTTTATAAGGCATTCTGCAGTAGGTTGTAATCTTTGAGCATCAAACAACACGATTTTCCTTAATTCTGGGTGAAGTCACATCTACACTCGATAGTTTTGATTGATTACCA